AGCCTCCATTCATATTTAATGGGGCCTGGGGTGGAAAAACCTATAAGCACTTAGCCGGTGGAAAGGCAGGAGGGAGAGCAGAGAGCTGCCATTTAACGGTTAATTAAAAGGGGGGAGAGGGCACTGAGCAAGAAAGCAGATGGAGGTGGAAAAGTCTGCGAGGAAAGAGACAGGAGGATTCCCAGCGAGGACCAGCAGCCTGGAAAAGTCTGCGAAGAAAGAGACAGGAGGATTCGGCTCGGGGCCTCCAGGAGAATGCATTTTGTTAAGTGCAGTTACAGTAACGCTCCTGGATTGGAAGGGATGTCTTCCTGGGGCAGATGTAATGCCCATCCCCAAGGCTGCCATCCCCCCCATTACTAAAGGTGCGGAGTGCCCCTCCCAGCCGGAGTCCCCCTGGTGCCCGTCTACTGGGGCCTTGCCCGCTCCCTCCGTTCCGGCTGGCAAGAAACACGCCTGGCCCAGACCCCTGCGCAGGACGTGCCATCTGCTGCACCGCGCCCCTGGCACTCTGCCAACCCGCGGCCCCGCTCGCTTGTGCCTGCCAGCCGCTCACCTCGTTCCTCCTCCCCTGCAGGTGGGGGGCCGTACCATGCTTCCCATCCGCTGGATGCCCCCAGAGAGCATCCTCTACCGTAAGTTCACCACCGAGAGTGACATCTGGAGCTTCGGCGTGGTCCTTTGGGAGATCTTCACCTATGGCAAGCAGCCCTGGTACCAGCTGTCCAACACGGAGGTAAAGGGTGGGGTGGGCCTGTGGGCTCCGTCGCCAGCTGTGGGGCAGGGGACGTGCTCCTGCTGCCTGCGGATCCTTTGCACGGACAACTGTCTGCTCGGCCATCTCGGGGTTGGGGCGAGCGAGGGAGCCCACCGGACTCCAGGAGGCCCAGCTCACTGCCAGCCCTTGGGGAGCAGTGAAAGGGGCAGGGTGGGGTGAGCCCCCAGCTGCAGCCCAAGGGCTAGGGGGCTGGAGCTGCCAAATCAGACCTCCTTCCTGCAACCTGTGGCTTGTGAGTGGCCACCCTGGCCCGCCAGGTGCGAATGCCTCTTTCCTTGGCCCACCTAAGTTTAGCCAACCCCAGACTTTTCCTGCAGCCAGTTTTCAATGTAGGGTGGGGCCTTTTGTCTCCCGGGATGAGAACTCAGGAGAGGAAACACGGGTAGCTTCTAGGCACTGCTCGTGCTGCAGGAACCTTGTTGGCAGCGTGCAGGCAGGGCGGTGGTTGCCCCGGGCGGCTGACATGCAGCACAGCACAGCACAGCGACCCAACCCAACCCAGCCGTGCTCCTGCTTCTGAGAACGCACGTCCAGCTGAGCTTCCTCTCACGCTTGGCTTGCAGGCCATCGAATGCATCACGCAGGGCCGGGAGCTGGAGAGACCCCGGACCTGCCCCTCGGAGGTCTACGACATCATGCAGAGCTGCTGGCAACGGGAGCCCCAGCAACGGCAGAACATGAAGGATATCCACAGCCGCTTGCAAGCCCTGGTCAAGGCCCCCCCGGTGTACCTGGCTATTCTCAGCTAAGGGGGAGGTGGAGAGAGGGGGAGTCGCCCCCAACATCTCCATCCTTCCATCCATCCATCCATCCATCCATCCATCCATCCAACCGAGTAACCCAACCCATACAAGATCTGTTTCCTGGCAGGGATTGTGTTCGTTCTGTCTCGGAAAAGCGAACTGGTTTCTCGGCCTGATGTGGGCAGGAGGAGGGAAGTAGCAGTTTCTCCATCTTGTGTATATAAAGACCGTTTTTGGGGAAGAGCCCCGATCTGCCGAGGGGAGCACAATTCTGCAGACCTTGGTTCTCTGGGGCGACGTCCCGCTTCTAACGTGTGGCAGCCAGCCAGGCAGACTCCGAACGGACGGCCGAGAGGAGGCGAGGCAGGGGAAGCCATTCAGCCTTGTCCGGGGTGACGTCAGCCTGTTTTCCATCGGTACTCACGAGACAATCAGAGTGACTCTGCAGGCGCCCTTTGTGGGAAGCAAGCATAGGTGGTGTCAGAGTGGGCGTGAGGAAAAACGCTGCTGCTGTGAATTATTATTTATTGTCCTAAGCCGTAGATCTTCATTATAACAAATAGCTTTCCCCGGGGGATCTGGAGAATCCAGACTCACCTGGATCCAGAAAGCAACCCAAGACTTAGAACTGGCTGGGAAAGGGAGAGGGACGCCCGGCTCGATTGAGAAGAGCAGGAGCCCCATCATCCACGTGTACCCGGAGGGTGTACCCAAGACAAGGTCCAGTGGGGGCTTTCTGACTCGAATACTGCCTCCAAAATAACCTGGCCTTGCTTCTAATGTAGGCTAAAGCTGTAATAAGTGAAGCCATTGTGGCCAGCCGGCCTGCCCTCTGCCCTGGCGTGTGGCTTTTCTCGCCTTCTCGGAAGACAAGGGTGATGGAGGGACATGGAGCCCTAAGCAGACCACAGGGCTGTTGAGACCCAGCAGGGCTGCTCAGCTGGGGGCAAAGGCTCTTCTGAAAAGTGCCTTTTGTTGAATTAGCGTGCAGGACAATCGGTCACCTTCCCCTGCCCCACACCCCCCAATGTGGGCTCTTCCTCACATCCAGTTCTTAAGGGGAGCTGAACACAATTTTCAAGGCAGGAGGGGCTAAGGAATGACATTTAACTGGGATTAGGGACCCCAGATATCCTTCTGGCCCCCCGCTCTAAGCACTTACTATATTGGCAAGGTTGTGAAGACCTCATCTTGGGGCTGGACAGACCCCACCGGTCTTCCCAATTGGGGTGAATCCATCTCAGGCAGCCGAGAAGGGCCACCAGGCACTCAAGGACGGACGATGGGGGGACACATCATACCCAGGCTGAGCTCTCGGGGTTAGACGTCTGTAAGAATTGGAAGAACATGCTGGAAAGAACCTGGGCTGAATTATAAAATAAATCTGTCGGATTCACTCACATCTTTGGAGAGAGACGCGTCTGCCTTTCTTTTCATTCACGCGCCACTGCGCATGATCAGGGAGGGAGCCCCAAAGCCCCCCATCTGCTTTAGTTCCTGTGGTACAGGTGGGCCTCACTTCTCTGGGCAACGTTCACTCCGACTTTGGGAGGTGCGGGCAAAACCAGGTCCTCTTGGTGCCACGGAAGGGACCTTCTGGCCCACGGGCGCATTTCCCCCCTTCCCTCCCTGCCTCTTCACAGAAATGCAGAAATTGTGCTCGGGTGGAAAACAGTAGAATTATGGAGTAGTAAGAGCCTTTGCGCCCCCTGCTCAGTGCAAGACCCCCGAATGGGGCACCCAGGATTTGGTTCCCTCTCTGACTGCTTTTACTTTTAAGAAGTTTTTCCTAGCATTGTGTCATCCAGATCTGCTTGGATGCTGTAACCAACATCCATTTTCTCCATCTCTGGGATGAGAGAGCCCAGGCCTGGATGCCCTCCTGAGTGATCTCTTTCAGGGATCTGAAGAGAGCAGCCCCCTCTGGTCTGAAGGCAGAACGGCCCAGCTCATCTTCACTGCTTGTCTCTGATTATTCCTCCCCCTCTCTGCTTTCCTTCCTCATTCTGCTGCCGGGTCTCTGCCTAAGGAAACGGGGTCCCATCCTCTTCAGTAGCCCCCCAGTGCTTCCCCACCGCTTCGCATCGTTAGGTGCCACGTCCCTGCGCAAAGATGCGGGGGACGCCTCCTGGTCCTTCTCCCCACTCCGTTTGGGGGGGAGACGCTGCTGCTCAGCCGCCAGGCGTGTCTCTGCCTTTCAACGCTGATCGGGGGTGACAGGACAAGTGATTGGCCCCCCGAGAGAAAGAAAATGCACACCTTCATCTAATCAAAAGCCTTATTGAATCCTCGGTAATCACATCTGTAGGGTAATGGGGGAGCGACTCGCGCCCAGCTGGGCTCAGCGCGGATCCAGCTCTAATGGGGGCGAATTGATTTCATCTGAGTAATGAACGAGGGTGGTTTGGTTGTCGCCCAAGGCAAGACGAGAAGGGCAGATGCAGCCGGGAGGGGCAGGAGTGTTTGTTTCGGGGTGCCAGCTCTTTCAGGGGGCAGAGCAGGGACCAAGGGGCCCGCTGCAGGTGGAGGTGCCCAAGCGTGGACCCACGAAGAGATTTCTGCCCAACCCCACGAGAAGACCGCAGGCAGTGGCGTGACACAGAACTGGCCCCAAAGACTGTGTGGGCGGCGCCAACTGCGCTGGGAAGGAGGGTGGCATCTCTGGGCCAAACTCAGTAAGCCGGCAATTTGCATCCAGGCCAGAAGCCAGGGGTTTGGGGTGCAACGGGGGCTCTAGGCCTATCGCTGCTCAGAGGGGGAGTGGTGGGGCAGAAGGGAGCAGGGAGCATTTCCAAAGGGGCCAGCGGTGCGTTGGGGGGCTCTAAGCAGCCACAGGCATTTCCTTCAAGCCCCTGAATGTGCTTAGGCGCGACCAAGTGTGCCCCAGCAGCCCCTCTGGCTGAGCCCCAGGTGAACCCCCAGGGCATCTGTCGGTCTAACCCTGCGCTTCGCTCCTGTTCCCAGGCCGAGGGAGAGGTGGATGAAACTCGATTCAGCCCCTGGGAAGACTCTCGGCTTCCCTGCCACACCAACATTAATCTTCCTCCTCTCCCTCCCGGCTCTGCCTTCCCCACCTCTGGCTGAGGTGGAAAAAGGCCCCGATGAGGATGGAGGGCGTTAAGTTTCAGAGTGCATCTCGCTGGGTTTGTGATATTGATAAATGACGCAAA